TTTCCAAGAAATTCTTACCTGGAAATTAAGAAAATCTAGTTTTTGGCCTCAAAAATTGGGGGTCGACTTATACACCAGATTGACTAATACACGGGTAAATACGGTATTTTGTATCGCAACCACCTGAATTTTTCCAACCAGGTAGATTGAAAGTTTCTCCTTGCTGCTTTGGCTTTCGGTTCGACAAAAGGTTCACGTTCATCAGTATCACTCAATTTATCTTTGTCAACATTGTCGATTCTGCTGGTTTCCGTTTGCAGTCTGTGTTCTTCTCTTTTGTTTTCTCGACCAGAGAATGATAATATTCTTTTCTGCTTTGACATGACAATAATATAGCAGAATGACAAAGAAAACAACCGAAATGACACATCGCGTTTCATCAATCAAGCATGAAAAGTAAGGGGTTAGCAATGAGCACATGATTTTTTTAAATTGACCCCCCTATAAGAATTATTCTACTTGTTCCCGGGAATCTCATCTCAGCCTCTAGCAGCCATTTTTATTTGTCCGTGTCGTAAACATTCGTAAAATGCACGCTGTTTTATATTGTCAATTCTATGAAACTTTAAATCATACAAAGTTTTCAAAAAACTTAGGAAACGAAGGAAAATTACAAGTCAGTAGTTGCAGATGTTTGCTGCACCAAAATGACCCGTGTGACGAATATTTGGGGGACATCTTCTATCGAGCTGCGCCAATCCTGCAATGGCACGCTCTAGATCAGACACTGTAGTCTCACCTTGAAAACTCAAACTCAACTAAAAAAAACTTTAAATGAAGAAATTTCAAACTGGAGTTCTTCATTTCTTAACACTGAAACCTGGAACAGCTAAATGCTACATTCCGTTCACAATTCACTTTCATTGCTTGTCTTTACCACAACTGTTGGAGCAGGACCACAAAACAATCTGGAAAAACAATGCTGTGCAACTCAGTGCAACACGACAAATGAGTTGAAATATTCTACACCACATCAAAATCTTCCTGTCTTTGACATTTCATTTCAGCAAGTTTAGACTGATTCAAGAGTCAGGAATATGAGATACCCACTTTGAGAAGTCAAACCAGTGTTTACTACTCTGCATGGTTTGTGTAACTACACATGTGATATCTATAAGGGTTTCCAGAATTGAGTCATTGCGAATCCAACATTCTAGCTGCATCGTCAAATAAACCTGTAGTAGGTTTCAAAGCAGCAACATAAACATCTTTCTTGACAAGACTCACACATCCTTTGGCTACACCAAATGAAAACTGAAAAAGGAAATGTGCAAAACCTTATGGCAATGCAACATACAAAGGCGCAACTCCCTGATTGTGCTATGGTAAAGTGCGTTGCACTAGAAAGCAACATTAAGAATCATTAAGAAAGTTCATGACAATTTCTTGCCTTGCCGGAGGAATCTCGGATGCGCTTGTTAAACTCCTTGCCTTCCAGAACAAGGAACTCACTGTTTACTTGCAGAATTCCACACTTAAGAGCAATAGATCTTGCAGTGTTTACATTATCACCAGTAACCATGCGCACCACAATTCCTGCACGCTGACACTTTAGGATGGCATCTGGTACCTAAAGGAATTTATTTAAGGTTTTATACAGTGCCTTATGATAAAACACACAAATCATGTCAGTCCAATATTGCATGACTGTACCCTACTCCATGTGACAAAGTACAAAATGGGTAGATTTTGCACTGATAAATGGGTACCAGCAAATTAATCCTGAGGAAATAAGTAGCTGCAAGTTTAACGATAGGGGTAGCTATAGACTAGAATCCCATCCAGGAGGGGGTAGAAAAACTTCTAGTTGTGTAATGGTACAAAAACCAGGATAAGCTTGAGCTGTATGGAGAACTGGTCTGATGCAACAGACTCATTTTACCCCTTGAAGTTGCTTGAGTCCAGATGTGAACCCTACTTCAATTTAACCAGTATAGCGACTCACAGGATCTACTCGGTTCAGCAAACCTAAATCAGATGGAAAGCTCCTAGAAATGAGACAATATTTCACGCATTCCAAAACATTCTTGATAATACAGACAATGCAGGGTGCATACAATGAATGTGTTTGTTTTGTCTTCTCCAGAGGCTCAGCAGTAGTAAGACTAAAAGTTCATGAACCATCACTCTGCTGATGTTTGTAAAATTAAGACAAGAAAGACTAAAACTATGATACACAATCTGGTCATGAAAGGAAGAATATTGTAAAGTTCCGTCTGCATACCTCTGGTCTGACTGGATCTTCAATACCAACAACTCCAATACATGTCAAGTGAGATAAGATTTCACCTTCATTTTCCCAGTCTGGCTCACTCTCTGCACTGGCTTCTCCTGCTAAACAAAAACAGATACATTCAAATAGACAAAATGAAACAAGTGGTCAAGTGATCAAATCACTAGCGTGATGTCGTTAGCAAGGATCAAGTTAATCTCCCGTCCATACCTACAACTTTAATTTTCCAAGTTAAGGTTACTTCAAACCTTCGCGGGGCTACATTGGTCGATTTTTTTTGGTCAAGAAAATTAAAGTCCGCAAAGCTCAAGTTTGCATACTGTGAACGCTAGGGGTTCTGTTATTTCATTGGCTCGCAGCTTTTTAAGTTGACACATACCTCTGTGAAGGCGTGATATGTTTATAAATCTTTAGAAGGCGAAAACTCGCACTCGTTTTTCGAGAGAATCCCTTCTCTTTAAATGAATTAATAGGGTATGCAGATTTGATGGTTTTCCAAGAAATTTGGTCAGAACATTCACTGATAGATATGTAACAAAAGCATGTCGGCGAATTCCTTTATTTAAAAACTTTCCTAGTGGCGGCCTTTAACGCAACAGGTTACGTGAATTTTTTGATAGTCGAACTTGACAGATCTATAAAAAGACTAGACGCTTTGCTGCGTGTACCCAGGCAGTCATTATACTGGGAAGCAGTAGCTATATTGCAATTGAGCTAAATGTTCTGCATTTGGAGTTGTACAAAATTCAATCAAATCAATGTGCTTAAGCTCTTCTGCTTTTGATTGCATCTCTTGGAATTGATTAATAGCTTATTACTCGTTTACAGGTCTTTAGGGCGTGAAAAGAGTCCAGGTCTTTATATCAGCCTATAAACGTTTCAGTGTATTTTCCTCAGCCTTTGTTGTTGTGATTTGCGTTTCTCAACCAAGCAAGACATTTTGAATTTCCGAGTTATGGCGGCGCGTGACATAGACCTACAAACCCGTTTGTCGAAAAACATATACTTATGTCGTGACTTTTTGCCCACTCAGCAGTTAAAGTACTTGGAAAAGTACTTATGTATATGCTTGTTTGTTCAGTACAGATAATCAGTCGCCTAGATAGCCAAAGTAAGCTCCAGATGTTTACACTATTTTCTGGCCGCAATGTTGGCGTACCGCAGAGATACTGGTCTCTGTAAATTTGTGCAAAATATTTCAACGAATATCTGAGCTTTGGAAAACCCACAGACTTAAAAATTAGCGAAGTGTCACCTTTATTAATCTCCTATAATATCACAATTTCTTGATTTAATCCACTAAATGGTTGTCGAATAAATTTTCTATTACGTCAGGATTGCGTGACAGTGCAAGCCAAGAATTGTTTTGCTGGGGTCAACATACGTGTATATTAGTTTCTTTCAGCTTAAATGTACAATAATTCGCTACATGGGTTTCACTCTTGTAAAGACACATAACTCTGTTACAAGAAAATAACAAGAAAATATCATTTAGTTCAAGATTTTATCTTTTTTATACTTAACGAAGTTTCTCAGAGCGTTATACTTAGGTGTACACAAACAGATACATTCGTAAACAAATTTTCTAACCTTTCTGCTCGTGTTGTTCAGACGTTCTTGAGTTTGTGCTGGGATTCTACTTGATTCACGATCATACGATGAGGCTTCTGAAGACGCTTAATGTCCTTTAGTGTTGGTCTACCTCGAACCGTGTGTTCATTTGTATATGATTTCATCACCCTAGAAATCATGGAATCCGTGCTAACTTTTCACAACGACAACTTCTGCAAATTCCATGTGCTCTTCGCATGTACAGGTGACGCACATGCTTTAGAGACCAGATGGCGATTTGTGACTGAACAAGGGGGAAAAAAAAAAACGGAGCCGAAATTTAAACCCAGGCCTCACTGCCTGGGTAATAACCAATAGAAATAAAAGAAAACGCTGACACATTTTTGGAGATTAAGGCTTTGTGATAAACACTGCACAGTCATTTTGCATGAATGATCGCATTTGATACCCGATTAATTCGCTGGAACGTCAGTCGGTCATTTTGGAGTTGACAGCCTCTGCCACCTTTGGAAAGCAAAATCCAAAACAAAACATAATTTTATCGAATTCTACATTTTATAACCTTTCTGTTGATATATAGTTTGTGGGGGTTTCCTTAAAAACAGCGCGTGTACGAATTTTTTTCTGGAGGACATCCACGAAGGTTTGAGGTAACCTTAAAAATCATGACTTATGGTGGTTTGAAAGTACAAAGTTTGGACTAAGTAATCTTCCTTGAGAAAGGCTATTTACCAATTAGACTAAAAGCCCCAGTTTGCTAAGAGCGATAGTCAACAAGGAAAAGCTGAGTGGACTGTCGCTCATAGAAAACAAGCAAGAATAGTCTAACTGATTTAGTAGACACTCTAGAGACAGCAAAAAACTTACAATTTTATGTATTTTTAGCCTGAAATTAAGAAAGATTTTCAGTTTCAAGAGCAGCATATAAGATCATTGTCTATCAGCGAACATAAAATGATGAACCAACCAATCAGATTCATGGATTTCCAACAGAACACAGCTGAGTGGCTACTAATACAGATTAAGTAACGCTTACAAACCTTTTTCAGGGGGGACTCCATTAGCAGGAAAATCCCTGTAAGCAAGACTAATGGTTCTCAGACCATCAGATGCCATTGGCTCAATCACATCTCTCACCATCTTCTCAGAATCAGCAGCTGTAAATGGCCTGATTTCACCATCTTTGCCAATAATTGACGTACAGCGGCTCAAAATTATCTCAGATGCACCCTTGGAATATATGCGAAATCCTCCTCCGGGAAGACGCACAGCAGTGGTCATGGATTTCCTTGCAGAGTTGAAGGTGTAAACTTTGACAAAGCTTGACTCTGGATTGTTATCTCTGTAGTCTTGGTATGTTTCACCAATTTCAAGGACAAAACCCAGTAATGCACCTTCTGTTTTGTTTCCAACTTGGGTGGGAAGACCATCAGGTGTCTCTGAAGGCTGAAAGCACAGAGGCAGTTCATTATAAATAAAACAAGAAGCTACCTTAATATCATGAAGGCAAAGTTATGAAAGAAGCCCATGAGCAACAAAGAAAAACAACCCCAAAAAAACCAGAGGGCTGCTTGGTCAATACTTGGGCCCACTGGATTGGAAGTTGAAATTTGTACACTCAGTGCAACTGCATGGAGAAAGAGAAAGGGCCCTGGCAACCAGACTACAAGCTCACATAAACTGGCAAACAACTGCATAAACAAACATTTCTGATGCTGACATAGTGTGCCCGTAAACCACAAAAACATTGCAGAAAACACAGCTGAGTTCCTGTCCTGTGAACTTGTCAGTGAAGTGTTGAACACTTCTTTAGAACACTTGATCTGCAATGTTTTGATCATCACTGTTTGTTACTGAGCAAACAACTTCTAGGCAGATGAAAGGGATCTTAGGTAGAGACCACACTACAGCAGTGAATTAAGAAAAGACAATAAAACAAACTTTGAATTCCTATATATGCAAAGTTTAATACAAAAACCTTTGTTTATGGGTTTCTAAATGCATTTGTCTATATGTGACCATGAACGGGAAAACGTACCTTAACACTTATCCGTTAGATGGGCAAAAGCATTAAGCATCCGCTAGTCATCCGTTAGAACGTTTCTTAAAAACATTAGAGGCGTTAGCCCAACCATTAGACGTTAGCATCAGGCCGTTAGAACGGAGAGTGCAACCATTAGCAAGAGACATGTATCTGTTAGCCGTTAGCATCAGACCGTTAGACGGGCCAGCGTAACCGTTAGCAAAAACTCTGTATCCGTTAGCACGGCTAGAGAAGCCGTTAGGATCCGTTAGAATAAACTAGCATCCGTTAAACGGGTAACGATTCCGT